AGTACTCATCTGAAGCGTCTTGTCGCGTTCTTTCGTTTGCCGCCTCGTGCGTTTCGCTGCGCCTATTGGTTCTCGAGTTATCGGCTGTGGGCGTTTAACGCCCCCCCCCCCCCAGCAAACGGTGGGTGGCGAAATACCCCAGCAACTGCCGGGTTAATGTATTTAGGCCAGGTCGGGTCAGGTCAGGTCAGGTCAACCATTAGGTGACCTGCCGGCCATCCATAGCAGGTGTTGACCACTATTGACAGCTTCGTAGCATACGAGGGCACCAAAACTATTTCATAAATCTCCAAATGGGAATTCGAAATCAGCCCCAGAAACTACCCTAGAAACATGTAAAACTCGAAATAATGAAGCAAGGTCATCAAAGGTCAAAGACTTTGACCTGACCTTCACGGGACCTTGAAACCCACACCAAAAAAAAGATTGGAAATTGCGCGGATAAAGTGAGCCTCAGCCGACATACGCCAATTCGCAATTCCGGTCGAACATGGTCTCGAGAATCAGACCACAGGTCAAAGGTCATTGGGGTCAGGGTCATTAAATTTTAAGAGCATGTGTAAAATTGATTAAATCGAGGTTACTGAAAGTTTCGTCGCGGTTGGCCGCTTTTTGCGCGAATTATTCGCGTAAAACCGGGAGGGGGTCCGTTCGACCCCGCTATACCTACCTATGTAAGTGCGAGTGTTAAGTCACTAAAAATCTGTCTTTAAAGTAAAAAAGTTTATTCCTCGAGCTGAGAGGCCAAAGTTGTACAGTTGGAGTAGGTACTTTAACACATCATGTAGGTATGTGCTTACATGCATGCATACATTCTCGAATTAAACATCAATAATACCCACTAAAGACATATTGCTCTTTGGAACGTCGCTTTCGGTATGGGGATATCGTGGGTCTGAGCCAGCTGACACGGGTGACACCCCCTCAGTGGGGTTCTGGCATGGTCTGCGTTGGATCACCCACCACCACAATGGGCGGTTCCTCAAAACCAGCGTAATTCAGACCGGTGTGAGGCGGCGACGTGAGGCCAGGCGCGGATACAAGGGGGGGGGGCCATGGGGGCCATGGCCCCCCCCCCCTTGGCCGATTTTTTTCAAAAATAAAATAAAAAGTTAAAAAGTTAAAAAGCTGAAAAGGGGGCCTCCTGAAAATAAAGTGGCCGAAATCCGATGAGTTTTTTTTAACCTACCCACTTAGTTATTTCTTAGAAGACTAGCTGAGAAGACTTCTTTGTTAGAAGATTGGTAAGGCTTTTCATAACTTGGAGGTCTCTTATACTCACAGAGATGACCACTTTTACAGGGCCTCCTAACCTGCACAGAGGGCCTCCAAGCCTGCACAGATGTTGAGATGTTGCCTGAACAGCTAGATAAGCTCAATAGACGCAGTTTTTTTGGGGGGGGCCAACAAGTGGGAAGATGGGGCCTCCAACAGGTGGGATTATGGGGGGGGGGGGCCTCCTGGTTTCTAATGGCCCCTCCCTTGGAGATTTTCTGGATCCGCCCCTGCGTGAGGCACGCAAGTGCGGGACCGTCCCCATGCCGTGGCGGTCCGGGTCAGGGGAGCAACCCCCTCCCCGCGCGGCGGGCGGTCGCCCATTCATCCGCGACCCCAGCCCCATGACTGAGGGGTTGACAGAGGGCAAACATCACGTATTTAAACTGGGCAAACAGACGGTGTTCTACGCTAGGGACATCTCGCGGCTGTGATTCGCGATACTGCTTCGCCAAACTGCCTTTAGATGGTGGGTCAGTCGGTGTCCGTCTGCTGCTGTGCGCCGAGAATTAGCCCTATAAATTACCATGAATTACACCTTCTAGTGTGACGATACAGTCACATTATCATATAGGTCGCGTTTAGATGCAGATGAAGAAACGACTGCGTTGAAAAAATATGTCATTTCATCGAACGCTGAAATGCTCGAAGTGCTCGCTAAAAAATGAACTCGCTAACTGAGCCCTCAAGGTCGGCTGCCGTGTTGCATTGCATTTAAGCCAAAAACGCGGACTGGGTGTAAGTTGTCGAGAAACAATTTTTGGCCTGAAGTGTTCCCTAAAGTATTATCTACATAGATCCAGGGAACATATTTGCTATCTCTGATGGCTTAGGAGATATTGAATCGTAAGTCCTCCGGTGTACCCTGTTTTGCGGCGGCCCACGTGTTAAAAGCTGCTGAACATTTTTACTTTGACCAAAAAACGCGGGCACAGTTTTGTCTGTACGAAAATGACTTTTGTCCTATCGCATTCCACGTGGGCTGAAAATTCAGAAACCAGGGAACATATTTGCTACGACCAGTACTTTTCACAATTCAGACCGAAACGTGAAAAAATAGCCCCAAAACCCTATGGCGGGCACGTCTCCGCGGCGCCCGGCCGCGGGTCGCTAGTTCCCGAAACGACACACCATGCTTATGCACGTGCCACGTGCAAAACGAAGAGGTGTCACTTTTGTAATTGTTGCAATATCTCGGTAACTACTTGGCCGATTGCGCTGAAAGTTGGCATGTAGCTAGGAGTAGGCACCCACTAGGAAATGCATATCCATGTGCCAGAGTTGGGGTGCTGCTGCACGTGCGCACGTGCAGGGGTCGATTCCAGATCTCGAGAATGGCTGGACCGATGGCGCTCAAATTTGGTACACAGTTAGGGACCGGTTAGTAGGGTGCCGTGCAAAAGTCAGTCGGGACCCATTTTGCACGTGCGCACGTGCAGGGTGCCGCTTCCAGATCTCGAGAACGACTGGGCCGATTGTGCTCAAATTTGGCACATCGCTAGAGACCGGTTAGTAGGGTGCCGTGCACAAGTCAGCTGGAGGTACCCCGTCGAAATTTCGCACGTGCAAAGCTCACCCTCTCGCTCGCTCCGTTAGTCGCCCCAAAAGGCGTTATACTGGTTGGCGAGTTTGGCGTCTTGTTATCGATCATGATATGAACGATAACGCGATTTGGGTGCAGACGGCCATTAACAGCCAATACTGGACAACAGATCTGGGGAGCGTACGGTATGGGACACCCTAATCAGTAATAGGGCCCACCTATTAGCTTGATTTGGGGCTCGAATAGAGGGAGCGGAGGATGGCCAGCACGAGGAGGGAGGGAGGGGCAGAGGGGTGGGAGGAGACCCGAGTCGTGGCGCGGTTGACGACCCGGGTCCAGGGGGAGGGGACCGGGCTTCGGCCGAGGCGAGATAAGACACGCACAGTACACACTACACAGGCCGCAAAACAGGTCGGGCAGTCCAAGGCGCGCGCTCAGAGGCGGCGGACAGTGCGGAAGGGTGGAAACGAAGCGGCAGGCTGTGGAAAACGCCCGGCACCGCCTGAGCTATTTCCGTACCCACGACAGCCTGGGGGGGGGGGGGGGGTCGGATCCGACCCCCCTGTTATCTCGAGAACCAATGGTCGTATCGAGCCCCGCGAGGCGGCGTTCGAAAGGTCTCTACGAGACCTTCCCAAAGCACTCTTAAGATTTTAAGATTGAGGTCAACTTTCGGGTCAAGGTTAGGTCAAAGGTCAAATTCAGGGGTTTTGCATGATTAGGCTTACGGACAGCGGAATCGATAGCTGCTGCTCGAAACTCACCAAAAAATGACCTCAAAGGCCTAGTGAAGGTACCATGTGCGTATAGGGGTCATACTAAGTACGGGTCAAGGTCAGGTCAGGTCACGAAAGGTCACGGTTTTCAATTTCTGCTACATGGGCGTGCGACACATGTTTTATGGCTTATTTTTCACGCCGAATCCGATGGTAATGGTTATATGTGACCCCAAGTCACTGTGCTGGTGATAAGTGTGCATTGAAAGCATAAAATTCGTTTATACCATACATAACTAAACCAGGGCTAAGAAAAAAGTCAATTTTTCAACTGTTTATTTTTGACATAAAAATGCACTTTTCTAGACGAGCTTTGTCCCAGGAATCTAGTGATGCCATTTGTTTTCACATGCGATGTTCAGAAGTGCCTCTAATTCACGAAAATTCTTATGACGTCACCATGCCCTATGCATGTTGGAGCTATTTTTTACAATTTGGGGGTCAAAAATCAAGATAGAAAGTTGAAATTTGGGGCATCTAATGTTCTAATAGAGCTCTACAACATATATTCCGTTTTTTGGAAATTCCCAAAATTTTGGATTTTATTAGCTGTTTTCCAAAAAATATAGTTTTTTGAATTTTTAGGGGTAAAAAACGCATGTTATGGAAAATCCGAGATAGCCATTTTAAAGAACTCGTTGAGCTGCGTCTTTTCATGTCCGTAATTTGCAATTTGCTTCAAACCCTGATTTTTAGCGATTTTTTAAACATTTACCACTTTTTGACTAAAAATACCATGTAGTTACATCACTAAAATCGATATATTTCAAAAAAATTTGATTTTTTTTTTCTTGAAAATGCACAGAAGACGTCAAATTGATGGGGGAGAAGGTATGCCAAGTTTCAAGTAGATAGCGAAAGTGGTTCATGAGTTATTCAAGAAAAACGGAGGGGGGGGGGGGGGTCGGATCCGACCCCCCCCCCCCAGGCGGTCGCGGGTTAAATGGTGTGAATTGTGAAGGTGGGCATAACACTTCATAACTGAAAGGATGGAGTAATTGGGTACCTGTTGCCGTTTTAGCCTTTTTGTTCGGCATTCGGCATTGCTTTTCTTTTTTAACATTAGATCGACCGTCGAACCCAGTCGTTCTAGCATTGGTGAAGACCCTCACCTGCATTGCTCAAGATTGGTGAAGGATCCTTCACCAATCTAAAACTTTGGTGAAAGGTATCCTTCACCAAAGAGATACGTTGCTACACCTATGCCTGCTAGGTCTGCGGAGTCGGAGTCGGGAGTTGGAGTCGGTCGGAGTCGACTATTCTGCCCGGAGTCGGAGTCAGAGTCGGAGCTGGTTTTTGGAAACCGGAGTCGGAGTCGGAGTCGGAGTCGCCGAAAATCCATCGACTCCGCAGCCCTGGTCCTTGGGAAGAATTTCCACAGATCAGGGCATTTCCAAACCAAGTGGTGCTCTCAATGTGACGGCACTCGCCGCTCTGTATTGTGCGAGCCATGTTATAGGTACCTCTCCCCAACACAACAAACGTTCCGACATCAAGCGATCAACGACAAAGGCACGTGCGTCACCACAGCCCCTTACATGAAGTGCATGTCACTGTGGTCCCTAGCGTGGGGGTCTCGAGCACAGATGTTTCCCGACAGCGCTGAAACTTTGTCACGTGGGACGTATTTGGAGCAGTGGAACACTTGTGTAGATACATAAATCAATAGCAGCGAGACAGTACCACCACTGGTTCTATCGATAGAATAAGCTGTGGAAGACGGTAGGCAGTGCACTCTGCCATTGTCGAAGAATCATGGGGATGGTGGAAGACAAATCACGCATAAAAATATGCACAAATGATCCAAATTGCAGCAAGAACAACATTCAAATAATCAAATAAAATACACATCACGCATGAGTCATAAAAGAGGCAAATTTCCGACTATGCCCCTACCTCTTATTCATGTTACGCATTTTCATAGAACGTAGTGACTCAGAAGCAAGTTTATAAAATAAAAAAGTGGTCCAATCCAAACAGTGCAAATCAAACAAAAACTACCTAAAACAAAACAAGTTTCAAAAAGAGATCATGTGCACTGTGCAATGTGCATCGTTCATCAAAAGGTTTCAGAAAACGTCAGCGCAAGTCCCGACACCCCAAATATCATAAGATATATGTCACATCCGAAGACACGCCTGCACGTTGAATAATATTCCGTACGGTAAAATTATAACAAAACAATTCGATGTGGAAGACGTAGCACACTGAACATTCGTGACCTCCCGGGCACCCCAGCCACCCATCCCAACACCATAATACCCAAAGAACTGGACGGCAATGAGTCCCCAATAGCACAAACCCGGTACATGCCAAAAGACACCGGGAGTGCCGACAGCCTGTAGCCCCGCAGCCCAACTACAAAACCGCAGAGGTCGAGTTTCAGCCCTCATCACAGCTCTTCCTTGTGACTGTGATGGGAGCAGATGCTGGTTTCGTGGAAGCAGAATTGGTGGCTGGCGTTTTCGTGCTCCTTGGCCAGGAAGGCCATGAGCTCGTCCTCCTGCTCCTCCACGATCGTCTGACACTGCGGCACGGGGAGGGACGGCTCGTGAGGCACCAGCACAGAGTCGTGGACGGCTAGGTCAAAGGGGGCAATGTGGCTCGCCGTGTCTTCGCACGATGATGGGATGAAGAAGGGGTGGCGAACGAAGAACTCTATTAAGAGTTCTTCGATGAGATAAGATTAGGAGCTCTATTACGAATAAATTATGAAAAGGTGACTAAGAATACAAAAAGCAAGCAACAAAATGGATTAACAAAGTCAAACAAGTGATGTAAATAGGGAGGGCAAGAAAACAGCATAATAACGCACATAGTCCTTGATTCCCCTGTTGAGGTTGGAGTCCTGGAGCAGTTCGAACTCTGACATCCTCGGGTTCATTGCTCCGTCGACGATGATGGGCAGCAGGTCCTTGGCGCCGGTGTCCTTCCAGTGGCCCTGGGCATAGTCGTCCATCTTCTCACACACGCCCTCCAGGAGCTCACCGAGGTGAACCTCTGATCTCCGGTACTGCTTCTGTTGACAGCAGCGAAATGGCCATGGCATTAGCACGCACATCTCGTTATTTATACCATAAGGCAACTTGCTAAAACTGCTAAGTTTACCTGAGATCTGAGATCACAAACCATATCTGATAAAATTATGTACCTAGTTGTAAGGGCAAAATTTAGCGCGACGCGTACGTCGGTGAGGAGCGGCGGGCCGGAGTACCAGAGTGCGTGTGAGGCCAGTCCGCCGTATGATAGCCTCCGGCGGGAAAGGCGTGCCCGCCGGGTGAAAGGCAGCGGCTGGCCGGCACCTGGGACTCGCGGACCCGCCTCTCATGGCATTTGCCAGTGCGGTGTCGTCGGGGCAACATCTTTCGGTAAGCGATCTTTTCCATCCCCCCCTAAATTAACGCCGCAGCGCCCAGGCGCTGCGGAAGTCCCCGACATATGTCCTGGATTTTATTTGGCTTTCCGACCCGCCGCAAATAGCGGTGGGCACTCCCGTTTATATCCAGGGCCGTCCCATCTAAATTATAATTAATCGGCGCGGCGCGTGGCGTATATGAGTGAGCGATTGTAATTGTGATGTGTATAGTGTGCGTGAGGAAAATGATCCGAGAGAATGACACTTCGTCCCGCGAGACCAAAATACAATGTAATGGGAATGTGAGCCAAATCTTTCAATGGGGTAAAGGCAGATGCCGGGCTGATACACGGTGAACGTGAACGAACAATCATACGGGCCGCTTAGTTTAATACACCCGGGTGGCAGGCGGGCATTGTAGAGTAACTTTGATTAACGTAATGTCTGTACATGGGGGGAACCAATAAAAGGTTGCAGGTTCCGATGCGTAAAACCCCTACATAAAAATGGTGCATCGGCCGGGAAATCTTTCCCATCGGAGGTCCGGACGCCCGAAGTGCACCTCCCGCCGCAATCTGTGATACTCGATGGTAATAATTCCGCTCCCGACATTGGTGTACATCGGCGCCCGGGTGGTAATTGCCGCCTCCGGGCCTTCGTTGCCGGTGTTCAGCACAACGGAGGGCCTGGCTCCCCGGGGGAACCCGCCGCATCCCTCCTCCTTTGTCGTAGTGTAGGTCGATGGGAGGTCTGGACAATACCCGGTATTGCAGAGGCGCGGGGTCAAAGGGCAACGAGGTGGGCGGCTATTTCCGCTCCCTTGGAGGTGGTTACCGGTCGTGCTGTTCTTACTTTTGGCCTTAATATCTTGTGTAAATCTTTGTTTCCATACTTTTCGTCACGTTCACACGCGTGAATCAGTCCAATTAAGGGGGGCTTGGGGGGACAATTTGCCACCGCAATAATGAGAGATGAGAGATGAGGGCAGTCGGTTCACGCGAGACCGTCGGAGATCGGGGATGAGATCGACGGAGTTCGGCGGTGCGGAAGAGTTCGCTCGGGCGGAATGGAGTCCGCATGTACGCGAGAAGAGTGCTCGCGTCGCCGTCGGTCGCACGCGAGCGTGCAGGTTCGCCCATTCGGCGGAATCATAGAGTCCGGTGACGAGCCGTCACCGCTGGTAGTGATGGCAACGAGGAGGTCGTCACCGGTGAGTACCGAGGGCCGCGAAATACCCCGGTATTTCAGTGTTACATGTGTGGGCGTGTGATTGGATAGTTTGGTGTATGTACAGGTATGTTACGGTTGGTGTGATCGAGTTAGTGCGAACAAGGGCATGTATGGTCACGAAAAGATGCGGAAAATTGAATTTTATTTATATCATTTGTCATCAATTTGCTTTTTCATCATTTGTCAATCAATTTGCTTTCATTCATACACCTGATTTAAATATGTAGCAAATTGCTTGTGTCGTGTGCCATTCACGCCTCATAATGAGACCATAGAGGCTTTAGACATTCCCTGCGATTGCTTGAACAATCGTTTAGACCATAGTGCATTATATCTATAGTCTTAAGGGCAGTGCATCTTTGCTGTGCATATTAATTGCTCTTAAGATATTAACTGGAATGTCCATGGCTTTACAGATTTTATAGGCAAAATCGGTGCAATGGATCGGGGACGTTACGATTGGGTATTTTCAGGCAGAGTTTTAAGCGGGGATGACGATCCCTCCCATAAAGCCGTGCACTCAGTGCACCTTGTGGCGCTGACGAGCTGTCATTAAGGCGGTACCGAGGCTGTACGTAGCTTAACGCGGGCAAGCTTAGCTCGGCAGCAAAGCCCAATCAATTACTATCTCCACCTCGCGCCGAAATGTGCCTTGCATTCAGGCAGCAACCCTTTAGATCTCCTATGCAAGTTGTCTCTTGCAAATTGCCGGGAAACTGTCATAAGTGTGGTCCGAAGGTTTTGCTCATAGCGGATGACCCTGGAACCGTTTCAATGGATTCGTGTGATCCCCATTCATCAGCTAACTTTATATGGTACGCAAAGGCAGTGCAACAATGAATTATAAAATCAAGACGTCTGCAGGTCCAAGAGCACGGCTCATCCCAAAATTCCCCTTTTCAGGAGGTTAGTGGGCCGAGTGGTGTACGTTACGGAATGAGTCGCATTTAAACGAAAAATCCGTCGAGCTTCGTCAATGTTTCTGTCTTATATTCAGGGTAGTGAACAGATCTTACGGTTCAATGCAGTTTCTTCTGATGCAAAACGTTAAATGTCTCGTCAAATCTTCAATATTATGTTCAAAGTAGATAATTCCCTCGTTTAACCCATGCATTTTCGCGTTGTCATTTCCTTGCTTAAAACGTAGTAGCGATAACTCAAATAAATTCAGTCACGGGCCAGAAACAAGTTCTAAACAGCTTTGATTCCAGGTTTAATGGCAACACTTATTAAGCAGAAATTCTTGAATGGAGCGCTGAGTGCTCATTTTAATGTGCCCGCATTTGAATTCCGATGCATAAGTTGGTATTTTCATTATTAAAATTACAGTTTATGATTAAATTCATTTAGTAATAACGGAAGAACCCAGTGCCTCTGAACCATTTCAAAGCAACCCAGTAGGACGGTGTCTCTTGGACCATTTTCGGCTTTGAATTGACAAATAATCCAAGGGAATTAATATTGTAGGGTTTTCAATCCTCTGTTAAGTGTTGCCAGGCACTAATCATCACTTTGCCGCCAAATGGAACCTAAATCATCTCGTTGAATTAATTTAATTTGTTCTGTATAGACGAGCAAAACATGTGTTTATTGGCATTTGCGCTTCTCGAGAGAGGGCCTCTATGTAAATAGTTGGATTTTAACGAGGATATTGGAAAGAGTACTTTAAAATGCACACTCGAGGCAAATACAATTGAATCCACGTGGCGCGGATTCTATCCGTCGCGACCGCACACGTCATATTCGAGCCTCCAACCGAAGCTGACGCGGCGCGAGGTGACGCAAAGCCCTAGTTGTTGAGCCGACTCCGTTCGGGACTGCGCTCCAGCAAATTCAGCAGCACGGGCCCATCCAGTGACTTTCCTGGACGGTTATGGTCTTGGCGCTGCCGTGCGCTGCCACACCAGTAACGGGTGATTTCATATGATGTATAATATAGCATGTGCCACATTGTCAGTTCTCGCGTGTTGTACAATGCATGTTGTTGTGCAGTACGGGTTAATTTACTGTGAAGCACGTGTTGTATTTCATATCATATCATATTCCTGAGCGGTGTGTGGGTGCCCGGCTTAGGCTTCACCATCATTGGACCGAGGGCAAATCGGATCCGCCAGATTGCCGATATCCACCTGCTCAAGCAGACGGGTTGGATCCGACCCCTGTGCTCCCACACCACGCGCACCTGTCAGCGCCGGGCCAGCGCCGCCGACCCGAGCAATTATGGTTCGGTCACCGCGCCGCCCGCGCAAGGGGGTGGCGGTCCGCGGCAGGGCCCTCCCCGACCGTCCCAGAGAAGGGACGCATTCCCATCGTGATAGGATCGCGCCGCCGGCCATGGGATCGAGCCGGTCGCCACGGGTAGGCCACCCACCCGACCGAAGGCGAGAGCCGCATTCACACGGCCGATCCTAAACGCCTCGGGGCGGGACGACCCGCGCCCCGCAGAGCGGAGGGCCGCCAAGGAGCAGCGGCGAACCGGGCCGATCCGCAATAACAACACCGGAGTCATTGGACTCGCCCGTCGCTGGCCGCCTGCTGCCGAGCACACCCCAGACGACGGTGGCTTTGTGTTGCCGATGTGATTCAAAACCAACGCGTTCATTTTGATGTCTGAAGTTGAACGCTCTTTGATTTTGACTAGTGCATCATCTTGCGTCTTTACTCCACAACATCTATAATTTTGGAAGATAAAGTTATCGTTCCGAAACGGACCAACGAGACAATTAACCCCATAATCACTCAGTACGGCACCGAAACCTTCTGATCAATCGATATACGGCGCAATGGCCGCCATCATTCCTTCTGGAAAGATTATTGCGATAAAAAGCGCCTCATACAGCACAAATCAACGTATTAGAGAGGGACCTTGATTATCCAAAATTGTTCGCTTCTAGGTTTTCAATCAATATCCCGACCATATTGGTAGGCAGAATGAGCGGCACGCCAAATAGGCATGCAGTTTTGGGAAATTCGTGTCCCGTATATATGTTTATTTATTTATCTGTTTCACTTCGAGACAAATCCATCCATACGAGAATGATTCGCATATCTTTAACAGTACTGCGCATGCCATCTTTGTAAGTTTCGGACGTCGTAATGTATAGTTTTAACGGGTTGTATCAGTGGACTTTGTTTTAACGGTAGCATCAGAGCTGAGGCAAAAGATCTCAGTGCGGTACAATTAGCGTATCGTCTGCCAATCAAAATTTAGCATCAGCAGTTCTGGTGATGTTTCAGGAGAACGGTCATTAGTGTTCTCATTTACCCAGCATGAATTCCTTCGGAATGACTCCAGGCCCGAGCGCAGTCACCTCGGTGTGGTGTTTCCGTCATGGAAAGGCTCAACAGCCCCCGCACCCGCACCACAGGTGCCGCCATCCTCAGTCGGTAGGCAGGATGGGCCGGCGTGCCGCGCCTCGGGCGGCGTCGCTGCG